CTGCTGTAAATGCATCACGCTCTAGTTTTACTCTCGATGCACTGAAACTGTCGGATACTAAAATAGTGCCGGATATATAGCCGGTCTTCCCCGTCTCAAACAGAGTTTAACTCCCGTTCTTGTTCACGCTAACCACACGGTAGTTTGATTGTTAACAATATACTGTTCCGTTGTTGTTGTTGTTTTTTTATTGTTGATTGTTGTTGTTTACTGTTGTTGCTCGTTGTATACAATCCTTTAGCTCGTACAGCAACGCCTGTTTTCGTTTTTTGCTTCGTACTAATCGCCTGATGTTGTCCATTTTTTGGAGAGATCATTTTTTATGCATATTTGTACAATTTTGAAATTTGGGAATTTTGAAGTTTGGGGTTGGAAATTGGGAGGGATCTTTTGGGGTTTGGGTTTGTAGGGAATTTAGGGAATTAAGGGAATTAAGGGAATTATGGGAATTAAGGGAATTTGGGAAATTTGGGGAATGTTGGGAATTTGGGAATTTGGGAATTTGGGAATTTGGGAATTTGGGAATTTGGGAATTTGGGAATTTGGGAATTTGGGAATTTGGGAATTTGGGAATTTGGGAATTTGGGAATTTGGGAATTTGGGAATTTGGGAATTTGGGAATTTGGGAATTTGGGAATTTGGGAATTTGGGAATTTGGGAATTTGGGAATTTGGGAATTTGGGAATTTGGGAATTTGGGAATTTGGGAATTTGGGAATTTGGGAATTTGGGAATTTGGGAATTTGGGAATTTGGGAATTTGGGAATTTGGGAATTTGGGAATTTGGGAATTTGGGAATTTGGGAATTTGGGAATTTGGGAATTTGGGAATTTGGGAATTTGGGAATTTGGGAATTTGGGAATTTGGGAATTTGGGAATTTGGGAATTTGGGAATTTGGGAATTTGGGAATTTGGGAATTTGGGAATTTGGGAATTTGGGAATTTGGGAATTTGGGAATTTGGGAATTTGGGAATTTGGGAATTTGGGAATTTGGGAATTTGGGAATTTGGGAATTTGGGAATTTGGGAATTTGGGAATTTGGGAATTTGGGAATTTGGGAATTTGGGAATTTGGGAATTTGGGAATTTGGGAATTTGGGAATTTGGGAATTTGGGAATTTGGGAATTTGGGAATTTGGGAATTTGGGAATTTGGGAATTTGGGAATTTAGGAATTTGGGAATTTGCAGAATTTTGGGAATTTAGGGAATTTGGAGAATTTGAGAATGTTAGGAATTTGAGAATTTGGGAATTTTGGGAATTTAGGGAATTTCAGAATATAAAAATTTGGGGAGTTAGGGATTTGTGGATTTGGGAATTTTAGTATTTGAAAATTTAGAAATTTGGGGATTTGGAAATTTGAGAACTTTGGAATTTGGAGGGCTAGAAATTTTTTAATTCTAAATCATGTAATTTTATAATTCAGTAATTTGACAATCTATGAACCTAGTACTTTATACAAGAAAGCCTATTGATCTAACAATTTGCCACTCTAAGAGCCTAGTAATTTGCACACATAAAACCTCACTAATTTAGAAATACTCAAATCATAAAATTTGAAATCAATAAAATTAAAAAATGTATCATCAAAACATTTGCAAACATGACAATTATAATAATGCTAAATGATCTCTCCAAAATGGGCACCGTGGGTGGTTACCCCACGAAGGTAAAATAAAACGAGGCTCGTTAGTTCTCCGAGCCACGAAAGGCAACGGCACGGACAAAAGGTAGGCAGAAACATCAGATTTTATTGATGAAAGTCCGGATCAAAGGACCGAGAATCGTTCACGATCAATGGGTGTCCGGAAACGCCGCGCGCACCGCCATTTCCGGGTCCAAAAAGGACGTCCCCGACGGTTCCAGTTCCATCAACGAACGACCACGTCGAAGAGGCGATTTCTTCCTAATTGTTGCTCGAACGATCGCTGAAACGACCCCGACGAATTTTCTCGTCGAGCTGCCCGGACGCTAAAAGCTTTCGTTCAATTTCTAGACGCGCTTTTCACGGGAAATCATCTGTACTTCGTTCGAAGAGCTCGATTTCCTCGGGAACTTGATCAATCGGCCGATTTTCCTTCTTCAATCTGGAGATCTGCTCTTTAATCGTTTCCTCGGCTTTGATCAACTTAAAGGATCCTTCGTTCGAGTCGATTGAACGTTCCAGGTTCGTTTTACAAACCGCGATAACGAGGACGATTAACTGACTTTGTGATTTCTTTGAGAGTGTGATAAGAAAGAAGTAGAATCTAATATACAGGGAGTTTCAGGATTACTCTATGATTAATACTGCCATCATTGTCACGTACAAATTTTCATAAAAATATATGCAAAAATTCTACAATTCATTTTGCTTATAAAGTCACGTAAAAATGTTGTATATTTCCAAAATATACGGGGTGCCTCACAATTAGGGTAGATCCCTGAAATTGGGGGTAGCTGACGTGATTCTGAAAAAGATTTCCCTTTGCAGAAATGGAGTTTGGAGCTTCGTTTTTGAATTATTGAGGAAAAACACGGACCAACACGTGGTAATCCAGCACGTAATAATCTAACGAGTAGTAATCCAACGCGTAGTAAGCCAGCGTGTAGATATCCAACGCGTAGATATTCAACGCGTATTAATACAACGTGTGGTAACCCAACGCGTAAAAATCCAACGCGTAGTAACCCAGTGTGTGGATATCCAACGTGTAGTAATCCAGCGCGTGGATATTCAACGCGTATTAATCCAACGCGTAGTAATGTAACGCGTGGTAATTCTACGCGTAGTAATGTAACGTGTGGTAACCCAACGCGTAGAAATCCAACGCGTAGTAACCCAACATGTGGATATCCAACGCATAGTAATCCAGCGCGTGGATATTCAACGCGTATTAATCCAACGCGTAGTAATGCAACGCGTGGTAATTCTACGCGTAGTAATGCAACGTGTGGTAACCTAACGCGTAGTAATCCAACGCGTAGTAACCCAGCGTGTGGATATCCAACGCGTAGTAATCCAGCGCGTGGATATTCAACGCGTATTAATCCAACGCGTAGTAATGTAACGCGTGGTAATTCTACGCGTAGTAATGTAACGTGTGGTAACCCAACGCGTAGAAATCCAACGCGTAGTAACCCAACATGTGGATATCCAACGCATAGGAATCCAGCGCGTGGATATTCAACGCGTAGTAATCCAACGCGTAGTAATGCAACGCGCGGTAATTCTACGCGTAAGAATTTAACGTGTGGTAATTCCACGCGTAGAAATTTAACGTGTGGTAATTCCACGCGTAGAAATTTAACGCGTGGCAATCTAACGCGTAGTTAACCAACGCGTAATAATCCAGCGCGTGGTAATCTAACGCGTAGCAATCACAGCGCGAGGATTGGTCCATGTTTTTCCTTAATAATTCAAAAACGAAGCTTCAAACCCCACTTTGCAAAGGGAAATCTTATTCAGAATCAGGTACTCTCCATTCCAGAGATCTACGCTACTTGTGAGACACCCTGTATTACTGACATCATAGACAAACTTCAGATAATAGTAATATTAAATTAGTAAATTTATGTAAAGATCAGTAATACTATAATACTAAATTACAGATTTAAATTTAAAAATTAGAGTTATAGTGCCTTACTAGATATTCTCACTGTACCAGTCTAAATATTAATAATAATTAGTCACACTTTCTTGCAAAAATGTACGTGTCAGCTGTTCCATCTTCCAATAACTTCTTTTTTCTTCGTTCTACTCTTGCTCATATAATACAGAGCCACATAAATCAAGATACAAGGTAGCAACAGTCCAAATAATACACAGAGCATCAACTTGAAACCTAACGTCTCGCTAAATTTTCTACACTTGTTCAGAAAGCTGAGCCTCCTGGGTCTTTCATGTTCTACTTTCTGCCCTGGTAGCATGAACCTAACCGATGAAGTACGTATCGGGTCCCTTGTAGCCACGTTGCTCTTCAAAATAGACTTCACGGGTTTCACTATGAATCGTCCGGTTGACTTCTCACGATAGGTGGATGTTGATGGTCCACCGTACTCTTCATCTTGCTTCGAACCTTTGGCCTCGAAGCACCATTTGCACTTTTCTCTTTTCTCATTCACCTGGTCTTCGGTTTGCTTGTTCAAATGCAAGCTCTTTCGCGAGAGTGTTGAGTACCATTTTTTGGGCTCTGTGCTTTGTTCGCTCATTTGTGATAGGTTCTTTTTGTAGACTTAAAGTTGTTTTTGGAGTAGTCTTGGAATAGTCTTGGAGTTGGTAGTGGAATTCTTCTTGGAGATTCGATTTTAATGAGTTAGCTCATGTAGAGCTTGATGAGGAGATGCTTAGAGTCATTGCAGTTATTGCTGATCAATATCAGCAACAGAGAAATAACCTTGCATTGAGGTTAGGTCTAATCACATCATTGGATGTCTTAACTAGAGTGTCTGATTTAGAGATACCGTTCTAATAGTTGATTAGAACTAGAGAAATAAGCTTCTGTTAAACACTCTGATTGCCTTCAGATGTTGCTTCTAGAAATCGATTTTGGTGTCACATTTTGAGTCATTTCTACTCCAGTTTCTACCTCACTAGTATTCCTTGTGTAATCTAAGGTCTTCAAGGTTTAAGATGTTCCTTCAGTTTTCTGATCCTTCATCTACTTAATCTAAAAGTCGACATCAAATCTCTTCATCAAGTTTCTTCGTCTCAACTTCTCGTCTCAATATCTGACATCAGTCTATCACGCTAAAGTTCGAATCACCATGGGTCCTAATCCCTTCATCAAGTTCCCCAACGTCAAATCGTAAACTAAAACTCCCTTTCGTGAATTCCTCCGCATAAAGAGCGCTAAAATCTCGTCGCTCTGTGCAGTCCCTCAGTCCATCCTGAAAGTCGATCTCATGTCTCGTCGTCGACCTGGATACTCAACGAAGCGGTCATGGCCGAGCAAACTCACCAGCTGATAAAACGCTTAAGGTAGGCCAGTATTCGCATGTGCGTTTGCGTGTGTTGTTACAGCCGCGGCATTGAGAGGAGTCGCCATCCAACGAGGAAGAGTAGGTGCTGCGAGGGCGGCTTTCCCGACTAGTGCAGCAGCTTTGGCCCTCGCCAGGAACCCGGGGCCACTTGCAGCTGCTGCTGCAGCCACGGCCCTGCATCCCTTCGCTCCCGCGTAAGTACTCCACACTCTGCGTTCTTCGATTTTATTCTGCGGCTCTGTGTTGGCTGTCTCGGACTTGGCGATTTTTATCTGCGACAGTAAGACTGGTTGCTTTATTGCGGAATTTAGGACGTTTTAACGAATGGAGTTTAAGTAGACATTTTGACGAATGGAGTTGAAGTAGAAATTCAATTAGACATAGATTACATAGATGACATAGACGAGCTAGATGAGGATGCATTTTAATGAAAAGAGTTTAAGTAGGAAATTCAATCAGACATAGATAACATAGATGATATAGATGAGTTAGATGATGAACTTTAACGAAAAGAGTTTAGGTAGGAAATTCAATTAGACATAGATGACATATGACATAGATGATGATGAATTTTTTACGCAGTTATTTTAGACTTTTTCTTATGTAAAATATGTAGAAGTTTGATAGAAGAAATTACAAGTGTTATGTAACTTTTATTGCAAATCATTTATTATTGCCAGAATTATAAGTGATGAATGTGTCCAAATTTGTTGCTGCATTGTAAATTATTTTGAAAATCAGATTCAGTTAAAAATATCAAAATTTGTACAGCTTTTAACTGACACAATTCTTCTATTACATAGTTCATTCCTTCCGTTACAAGTTCATTTAATTGAAACAATTTAAAGATCGAATTTATAGAGAATGAATTTAACATATTACACTGCCAGAATAAAAAATGTAAAACATCAAATAATTTCATAGTATATCTACATTCACAAATTCTTTCTAACACTACTTCCTATATCTACATAAAGTACCACAATTAGAACACGAAACTCCAGCTACAATTACAGAGCTTGAAAGTCTAGAATCATTAAGGTGATAAAAATTAGAAGTGCACTGATCGCCACTAACCTATATTCTAGTATACGAAGTGTTAATGCAATCCGTGGAGAAAAAATCAATGACCGACGTTAGCGCCACAATTTTCCGTAGGGAAATTTACATTTCACGTATCGCCGAGTTCGGTTCACAGAGGCGTCAAGAATTCTGCCAATTTGTCGACGTGGCTGGAGGATCATCGAGTGTCATCGAAAACCAGCACACGTCGAGTAACCCCGTTGCTTTTGGTGCACGTGTCTTGCTCGTTAGCCTGCTTGTCGAAATATCTGCACACGCATGCAGCGATCTAACCTCTTTTTAACGAAGCACGATCTTTCGGAGGGTCACCGATGACCCATAGGCTTTGTAGTTAATGTAGTTTCTTTCAGCGTCCTGAACGTGGAGGATGATCGGTGTTCAAACGAAAACAAAATGGAGGGTTATAGGTTCAATATAAGCAGCGACATCTGTATTTTCATTTGTTCATGAGAGACAGGGTTAATTTTTTTAAAAAATTTGTAAATATAAATTTACGTCAGAAAGTTTGATAAAATGATGACTGAAAAGTATCACAAAATACCACTTATGTTATATCAATTTAAAGCTTAAAGTCCCCTGAAAATGGCCACATAAAGCCACCATTAAAGTTCGCGATATAAAATGGCTGATTGCCGGTTACAGCAAATGATGATCTATTTGGAGGCACATAAAGTTAGTAACGATTTGATGACATAAAAGTAGCACGAAGTAGCACTTATGGTATATCAGTGTAAAGCTTAAAGTCTAAGGAAAATGCCTATATACACGATTCATCGATATTCTTAACTGGGAGTGAGTGGTTCTTTGACGAAGGAGACAATAGACCCATCACACCTCTACACATTACTGCATTACTTCAACGACAAATCGATCGTTGTAGATTAACAGTATTAATAAAACACTTACGCAGTTATTTTCTGTATACTTTAACCTGTAAATTGGTGTATCACAAGTGCCATTTTGTGAAACTTTTATGTCATGAATTTATGTCGGTACCTTTCGAATTTATATCGGCACCTGCACAGTCAGAGGCTGAATAGTCAGCCATTTTGTGTATTGAAATACTGGCGAAGCATTTGCGTAATTTTCATTAAACTTGAAGCTTTAAACCATAGGTGCCATTTGCCTTTATGCGATAACGTGGTTGACTTGCTACCCTTCGAAATAGAGTACTCGAAGCTAATACAAATTGAAAAACTTTCTGCAATCATTCTGAATAAAATCCAATTGGAACGTCGATAAATAGCCGCCCGTTAATTAATTCTGCGCGACGTGAACGAGATAAAAAGGACGGAATATTATGTAGCGATCGATACAGGTTCGTTCATCGATCAACTGCAAACTTTATCGTTCGGGAATGGCGCTCGCTGTTGGTTTTGCGAATCATCGGTGCGAGAACCTGTTAAAATCGTTCATTTTGCCGTTCGTTTTCCCGCTGCAAGGTTCACCGATCATCCTGACGCGGTATTCGGTGGAAGGGCGTCTACGGTGCGAGCCGTGATTTATGAATTTTCGTTCACTTTGCTGAAATCGTAGATAACCAGTGACGAATCAAGCCAACGGAGAGTGAACATGATGGACGAGTAACTCTAATCTCGTCTCTGTATCGCAATCGACTACCGATGTTCCAGTTAAAAATTGATCAAACGCTTTGAAACCTGTACTCCTTTTACGTCCTTCGATCCCTAGTTATATGGATTTCTGTACTCTGCGTCTTTACGTTTTTGGATTTTTATATTCTGTATGCTGACATTTTTAAAAATCCAAAATTCACTGTATTCTAAAATTTTTATTTAAATCCATGAGTGCTCTTAACCTTTTGCACTCCTATGTGTGACATGACATGACATTTGTATTGGATCTTATGAGTAATTCAGATAAATGGGTTGGTTAAGTATATTTTCATTTATTTACTATTCATAGAAAAGGAAAAATATATTTGTTACATACTCCACTCTGTTGCAATACATTTAATTCAGAGTCCCTTGATCTATTTTGTGAATGAAAGAGTTGGTAGATAATATTATAGAAATTAAGGAGTGCAAAGGATTAATCCCCTGAGTTCTTAAAACCACAAAATCCTTAAATTTAAAAATTTCTGTATTTCCGAATGTAGAAATATTCGACTCCCTAAGTCTTCGAATCCTTAAATCCCCCATCGTTGAATCCCCATTACATAAATTCCTGAAAACCTAAAACCTAATGTCTGAATATATGAATTCCTAAATCTTCAAATTTCTGTATCACCAAATCAATAAATTTCCTAATATATAAATCACCGAATCTCTAAATCCCCGAATTCATAGATCCCCGACACCTAAATTCCCGAAAACCTAAATGTCCGAATTTCTAAATATTTGAATCTCTAGATCTCCCAATTTTTAATTCACCGAATCCCTAAATCTGCCAATCTCTAAATCCCTGAATCCCTAAATCCCCGAATCTCTAAATCCCCGTATTCTTAAATCCCCGATACCTAAATTCCCAAAAACTTAAATCTCCAAATTCCTAAATATTCGAATCCCCAAAACTCCTAATTTTTAATTCACCAAGTCCCTAAATCCCCCAATCCCTAAATCTCCCAATCCTTAAATCCCCCAAACCCTAAATTCCCAATCCCTAAATCTCCAATACCTAAATCCCCAATCCCTAAATCCCCCAATCCCTAAATCCCCCAATCCCTAAATCCCCCAATCCCTAAATCCCTCAATCCCTAAATTCCCAAATCCCTAAATCCCCAATCCCTAAATCCCCAAATCCCCTAATACCTAAATTTCCAAATCCCAAAATCCCCAAACCCCCCAATACCTAAATTCCCAAATCCCAAAACCCCCAGATCCCTAAATTGCAGTATCCCTAAGAACCCGCACCCCTAAAAGCGAGTCCCAGCTTCCTCATCTTCCCTAAATGCTTTCACCACGACTCCAATTTCAAAATTCAATCAAAATCAATCATATTATCGCGAATGCTTCCGATGAATAGAACCAGAAAGTTAAATTGAATCCTTCGATGCTATATTATTGGTAATCGAACTCGAAGAGCTCGAACGTCCACAAAACGGAAGAATACTGGAGATAGAAACGGAGTTTCGTTAACTATCTCCATTTTCTACCTCCTGCAAGTTACGGCTTTGAAAAAGAATATTCAGCTGCTTTTCGTTCACTGCATTTTTAATATCCGCTGGAATTACATAATTAGAAAAGGAAGCAGAGGAAATTCGAAAAGCAGCTTGAGAAAATTGCGATTGAGATGAAATTTACGAGGATAATTTTTATTTTGCAGCGTTTATTACGACCCGTTCCTAGCAGCACACGCAGCGACGCAGGATCCCAACTACAGGCTACAGGTGAGACACAAACATTTTCCTGATTTTCCGGCGGAAATTGTCGCCGGTGCTCTGTTTCCGGAACGCGAAGCGGCGACGAATGAGTTTTTAATTAAATAGAACTACGCCTGTAGTCAGATTAAAACGTCAGCTCAGTCGATCACCTTTCAAGCGCTGCTGATAAATTGTCGTGAACTAATTGCTAAATGAATCTGGGTTCGACCCTTACTTCCACATCGATTTCCTTCGATTATCGGATATATTGAACGTGACATGTAATATTCGTCCCTTTACATCTTGTAAAGTTTTAATTTTCGCTTATAAACTTCAAACTACAAAATATAAATTTCAACGCTAATATTCAAATTCCTCTTGTTAATTAACTTTTATATGATCTATTAAAAATAATAGGAAAGGAAAATGTCTGAATACAAAAATAAAAATACTTGTCCCACTTCAGAAATATCGAAAGCATCGCTCAAACTTCAAACTTTAAAATATAAGCGTAAAAACTTTCTACACTCAAAACTCGATTGTTAATTAATTCCTGTACTACCTGTTAATGATAATACGAAAGAAAAACGGGATCCCAGGTCGTTTACCACAAGTAGTAATACTTGACCCAGTTGAAAGAATGGTTTAAAAACTTCGATCTTTAAAATATAAGCTGAAAAACATGCTACATCAAAAACTCGGTTGTCAATGAACTGGTGTACACGCCGTTAGTGATAATACGAAAGAAAAACGGGATCAAAGATCGTTTACCACAAGTAGGAATAAAAATACTTGACCCAGTTGGAGGAATGTCGAACCGCAAATCGCCGGTCAGTCGCGAAGGAAACAGAGCACGTAGCGTTCAAAGAACGAAACGAAGCAGAGTTGAAAAATAAAAAAAGAGAGATAGAGGAGAGTAAAAAAAGAAACATCGAGCAAAGAGAAAAGAAGGCAGAGAAATATTGACTAAAGTCTGCTACTGTTCCGGACCCGTTTAGCTGGAATGGCCTCAAGCAACAGCTGACGTTAGTTGACACGTTTTTCCAGGCTTGCACACACGTGAAACGCAGAGAGCCCGATAACAATTAACGCCATTCCTATCTCGTTTCTACGTTCTTTCATCTGTCGTCACTCTCGCCTGTTCGTCTGTTTTTTCTCCCCCTTTTTTCACCCCCGTTTCACGAAAACGTTCACGGCGAATCTCCCGGGTTCGAGCGGCGGAAGAAAAAGAGGAAAGAATTGCAAAAGAGCGGAGAAACAGAACTAACGGCTATCGTTTTTGCCAGCTCCGACATCCTGTTTCCAAACGATACACTCGATTCCGTTTAAAACCGGGAATGAAAATTAATTCCGGACGTACCGCATTCATTTAGCCGTTCCGACCACGTGTCACCGTGAAAATGAAACACGCCCGGAATTTAATGCGAAATTTTTTAACATATTCATGCGCCTTCGGAAAAGCGCTCGCGAAATTAATTTTACGTTGATGGTTTATTTTGTGAACGAGCTCTTTTGCAGTTTTTAGATTATTTTCCCGCTGTTTGTTTTAACGCGTTCAATCTGTTATTTGTAAATATGTATACTTGAATCGTGTTTTGAATTGGAGTTTTAATTTGGTAACAGATAATCTGTAGATGAGAATAATGTGATATTTAATGACAGTTAACAATTGTCGTGTCGAGGAGATTGACAGAATTCTGAAAATTCAATGAGATTGAACGTGTTAATACTCTTAATTTCATTTCGAATCGATTTCCATCAGAACCTGTTTCATGCTGTTCTAACAAAAGGCGTTTTCTCGATTCGGAATCGTTGATTGAACCAGTGAAACTTTAAATAATTACAATTAATCATTTTCTAAATAAAATTAGTTTGCAATTATTCGTGAGATCTGAGGAAACGTCTGTGTGGCATAGCACCCTGTCACAAAATCATGCAGCATCTTGTTGCATTTTGTCGCCTGATCATCGCGCGCCCTTCTTTTCTCACCCGATCCAAAGACTCGTCTTAAAAACACGGAGAAAAGCAAGAACGACGAAAATAATTGTCCAACGCGAAACAAAGCCCTAATTCCCGCACCCCCCACGATCTGGCCGAATTTCTTTTCAGGTATGCCGTTTGTGTTTCAGGCTAAAGCACCCGCCCTGGAGGTAGGAATTTTAAGGGTCCGCCCGTGAATTATCTTCGCCCGTTGTTTGTCTGTTTTTTCTCCCCCAACCCCCTTTATTTATTATTACCTCTATTTATTCTCCTGTCTTCTCGCTGGCCCCTTGTTTGGACCGGCCGATCAGGAGTGCTCACCGATCGTCGAAAATTTTGCTTGATCGACGCGTCACATATTTTCTTTCTCTTATAGTATTGTTAAATGTTTCTTTTCTTTCTATTGTTACTCTTGGTCTGTTCACCCTTTACAGTAATACAACTGCGGTGTCGTTGCAGTTCTATATATTATGTATACATATACGCTTCCTCTGTTCTGCGCTTCTTTCATTTCCCGAGTGTGGTCTTTGCGACGGTTGTAAACAGCATGCTGTTCGTAGTATTTTCTTTCGTCTCCTTTGTTTTTATACTAGAGTGTTTTTTTCGGTGTTTTTTTTTTTGGTTTTTACATTTTTCGATCGATCGCTTTCTGGTAGAGCGACTGTATTTTTGAGAGTTTAGAATATTTAGTAACTGTACATAATTCGATAACTTTGCTGACCAACCCCTGTAGGCTTAATTTTTAAATTAAATCTGTAGTCTCATATTTTTTATTATATTACATTTCAAGTATCATGAAACGTTCGTGTGTCATATATTTCTCATTTTAAAATTATATTATTTAAGAAAGAAGTTCAGTTGGTCAGCAATGTATTACAAGAACGTAAGTTACTTTATTTTTCAAACACACTTGTTTCGAATTAGTGATTCTCGTGCTACACTTCAGAACATCTTACCTCCTTTCTCTTGAAAGTCTGAACCTCTTCCGATGTTCCTCTATCGATTGACACGAAGATTCAAAAACATAGCGATCGTTGAGCACTCCGTTGAGTATTTTAGAGAAAGTTGTTTAGTTAGTTTAGAGTTGCTCTTAATCCTCGCCCCTTCACCCCTTCGGCAGATTCAACCTTCTATGGAATTAGTTCTGCCAACAATTTAATCCGAATTTCATTCAGACACCTGAAGCCGAAGTTACATTGATCTACTAGAGTATTAGAGAAGCCCTTAATATTTTTATAAAATTTAAGTTTTAAGAGAAAGAAAGGAAGTTCTTATGTAGTGTTTTCATTCTAGTGCTCTGGAACACTAGTATACTTTACTATATCAATGTAATTGAGGCTTTGTACAGTTACGTGCATCGACAGTTTTCCGCCAAGATCCTCCCACTTCCTCGGTTTCGGCAAGGTTCGACTCGCGTCGACAGTTAAGCCCCGCCTCCTTCTCGACTAAGAAAGCTCAGTGGGAGTTCCCCCACTCCTTCCTTCGAGCTAAACTCTCCATGCACCGAACTGTACATTACAGAGCGATTAGCGGCGAGTTACAAAATTACAAAGTTATCAACGAACAGCTGAGTCCAAAATTAATCTATGATGAACACATTCGCGCAACGAAAGAGCTATTAAATAATTCTCCACCGGATGCAGAATAAATCAGATACGAAAACGTTCGAGCAAATTCTGGCAGATACGAAGGAGAAACATAATGTCGTAAATTTCCTGACGTCGCACGTGCATCGAATCGGGACCACGAAATTTTCCGCGTCTAATTTCCGCGCGAACTCGCACCACCGCACCGGCTCGAATCCCCTTCCGGTTCGGGGGCTTGTCTTGACCCGGCACACGAAACTGGCCACGTAGTTCCTCCCTGTGAATTTACGAGCTTCCAGGGAACGGTCTAGCAACCCGTGGAAACTGCGCCAGCCATCGTAAGCCTTCATAAATCAACGTCGCGTCATTTCGCGCGTCCGACAGCTTCATTCCGGGTATTTCGTACCGCTTCCGTCTTCGATGTGCCTCGTTAACGATTTTATCTCCGCTGTATACCGATTCGATCTCGCTTTTTTCTATTTGCTTCGTTCTTATGCTAATTTTCTCGCCAGTTTTTTGCAAGGAATATTGAATTTAAAATGGGGGGAATTTATGCGTCATGGAGTTTGCTGGATAAACTTGTTCGCGTTTACCAATTTTATGTACAGGGTGGTTAAATGCATTGCTTAACTTGTAGATATGTTGTAGACAAAGTAACATTTTTTTTTTGTTCAAAAAAATAAATCATGAGTTAAAACATTTGTGCATGTACTTTTTTTATAAGTGGAGACATTTTGTGAATTTTTAATGACATAAAAGTTTTGTCAAAAATATTCTGACATAAAAGATATGCTATTTAAAATAACGAAGTTAATCCTGGACCTCTGAAATGGTTCCATCAATAAGACATATCAGTATCTTATAAGATACATGCAGTTTTGCAAAACACGTCTCTATAAATCACAGCACTATTGCATAAAAATAACCATTTTTAACAAGAATATATTTTAAAATGTTATTCAAGGTAAGTACATGTAGTTGTTCATGCAACTTACACACCTTGAACAACTTCACAAATACATGTCCTAACCCTAAACTCTCTGAGAGACCTTCGCCTATAAAAGAAAGCTACGTTTGCTACATAAAATATTTTCCTCATTTATCAGTGTATTTACAAATTGAAAATTGTGAACCACCCTGTATATATTATACGAAATTTCCTGTATAAAAAATAATGGCATAATCATCCGTAAATGGCTATTAAAAATGCCTTGAAACAAGAACCGCTGGACTTTCCTTTTCCGGTCGAATAAATCGCGAAAGTAGTGTAACGATGGACGCAGGACGAGAGCAATTATCGAGTCACGTTTTCGTGGCTGTCGACGAAAGGTTACGTCGAGAGGAGATCGTTAACGTAACATCTGACCCGTGAAGCGAGCCGGTGTAAACGCGGGGATCCACGTTGCGGTTTCACGGTGGAGCTTGCACGGGACCGGAAATACGGTGGAAAAAAGGGAAATGGTACCGAGAGGAAGCAACGGGACAGATGCTGTAACGGTGGTTTCCGTTCTTCCGTCCTCCAAGTAAAATAACCGAGAGTTAATTGACCCCTACTTGAAAAGTGGTTTTTAACCACGCTGAAATTGAGTATCACGTGCGAGAGTCGTTTAAGGATTTTCTGAAAAGCAACGCTCGTTTGCGAACCTTACCATTTCACGCCTGATGTTCTTCGCTAAATATCTTCTATTAAATGAACCGTAGGAAACATATTTTATTTAGGACACACAGTTATTTAACACTGAGAGTACCAAACCAGATAATCGTTTCACAAGATCTTTTTTTATAAATTATACAATTTGTTGTAGTTCTGATATTTGCATTGAGCTTCATCAATATAAAAGAATTAATGTGTGTTATGTATTGACGTTTGTTTATTTATTTTTTGACTTAATTTTTCATCTGAAATTAAGCACACAGTAGGTACAGTGTTAACACGTTAAATTCATTGATGTTAAATTATAGCCACAATTAAAAATAGCCATAGTTTAAAATTGCAAGTAATTCCATAATAAAATTATTCCCTGAAACTAATTAAATTTGAAGAGACTATAATCGTAATTATTAACCGAAATGGTTCATGATTTATGGTAAGCTCTCTCGATACCCAGGAAAGAAAATGAATTTCCCAGGGAAGCGAATCATTAATCACTTGCCTTTGAAAAATGTTTCTGTTCCGGCGGAGAGCGTTCCGTGGTCGAAGGAACATTTTGCAAGGTGCACTCTGATGTAAGAAAATTCACGGAAAAAATTACTCTGTCATTCGCAAAAAGCTTGGGTCTCTAATTGCTCCGAAGAACGTATCATACGAGTTACTGTGTACCGTTGAAACTTTCCGCCGTTTTAATTCTGAAATATTCCCAAGAGAGACTACAATAAAGGGTTTAATTTGCATTAGGTAATTCTGTAAAATTCTACTGTCTTGCTAACTTTCTAGTAATTAACATTTTATCTCGTTTATGCTTGCCACTTTTGTTTGAGTATGCTAAATAAAATTTGCGTCGTACAAACATGTCATAGATATAAAGCTATACAGGGTGAATCACGACTAGTGTAGGTCTCTGAAATGAGGGGTAGCTGATTCTGAATAAGATTTCTCTTTGTAGAAATGGGGTTTGAAGATTCAATTATTTTTGAATTATAAGGGAAAAACGCAGACCAAGCGGAGCGCGAGGATTGCTACGCGTTAGATTACCATGCGTCGAATTACCACGTATGGATTTACCACGCGTCGAATTACCACGTACGGATTTACCACGCGTCGAATTACCGCGTATGGATTTACAACGCGTCAAATTACCACGCATGGATTTACCACGCGTCAAATTACCACGCGTCGAATTACCACGCGTCGAA